CATGAGAGGTGGACGAGTATATACTTTTTCGAGTATGCGTGTGAGTACGAGTATAAAACAGCTTTACTCGAGTATGTAATCGCATGCAAATTTTTTTAAAAAAAACAGGATTTTCGTTGGAAAACTTATCGTGTGATGATACTATATCGATCAGTCTCTTCTGAATTGCAGTCTTTTTAGTTAAACAGGTTTTCATCCGAATACTCTAGTACTTTTTCGAGTACGCATTAAAAAAAGTCGCGAGTACAAGTATCTAAAAATTTTTACTCGAGTATAGTCGAGTACGATTATTTACTCGTAACTCGTACTTGCCCATCTCTGGTCAAAATCTATAAAAATTTACAACTCCGTCGTTAAGGATTTTCAAAGATCTTCTCTTTCTAGTCTAAATCTTTTAGATCCGGTATTTTTGACATATTTTAAAAGTAGAGAAAGCTAACAGTGATAATAGAATATCAAGAACTCTTTCGAAGGCCTGTCAGATAAACCACCAGAAAATTCGATTTTTAAAAATCGCATTTACCAACGGATAGCTCTTTTCTACATAGTGATGAAATGTTTTTTTTGCAAAATATTGTATTTTGAAAATCATGATTAAAGATAATCATGTTCGAAAGGTGGCTATGGATCAAAAGAAAGACCATTATGAAGACACTTGTATATGTTTGCTCAACCGCAATAATCAAGACTCAACGATGTTTTGCCTACTTCAGAGTTTCTTTGCTATTATCACACTCTTTTACAGTTAATTAGTAATTAATTACTTATCACTTTTTATTGAAAATGATTATACAGAGTGACAAGAACAGAACAAAACTCAAAAGATCTTATATCTTGTTTTTTAGCAACTGGTGTCAACAAATCCATTAATCAAATTAAAAAATATTTTCTATTTTTATATTAGTCAACATAGCAATGAACTCTCTCGCTAGTGCACATCGAGTATTTATGATCAGATTTATTGTTAAATCATGATTAGTGCGGTTATACGCATTTTTTTTTTGTTACGATTAAATATCAATAAAAAAATCGAATTCAAAAGAATTGCGGTTAGACGTAACAGATTTTAATTTTGATTAAGCTTTAGCCATGATCAAAAATAATCACGATTAACTGTATCATGTAACTCTAGTGCATGTCTTTATTGCTCGATCATCAGCAAGATTGAAGTTAAACATCAACTACTCACTTAACGAAAAGTCAAGTATTTAGATGAACTAAAAATAAATTCACAATAACAAGAGTAAAGGAAAAAAGTTACTCTTCGCCTTCTACCTGAATAAGAATTCTTTTTATTATTAACGTCTCGTACCTATAGCTTTAGCTATAACTCGAGACCAGGTTAAGATTTTAGTAAAATCGACAATTTAAAAACACACAAAATACAAACGTTGTCACAGGCACTTCTCTATCAATAATTCGTCCGAATAATCTAGTTTCTTGGAACTTTATGTTTGTTATAGTATGTAGATATTTCCTTTCTGCAGACGAAATTTTATCCGAGCGATAGTTCGGGTTATATGGTAAATATTACTTTTTTCCAGCATCGTATTCTATTTATGAGCTGAGTTATAGGCGCACTAACAATAATTAAGCGATTCTCGATGTACGATTCGGTATGTAAGTCATGATTAAGTGTATTGCATACGCCAAAGGACACAGTGTCTATGTGTATGTAATTAAACTTGTCTTTATTAATACTAATGTACATAATAAAATAGTGTTAGTCGGTTATAATATAAGTCTAATTGTTTGTGTAGAATACTAACTAGCTAGTTCGTTCAAAAACTACTCGGAATTCGAACTTATCTATTTTACAACCTGCTACATTCTAGCATTACAGCAAGACAGGGACGGATTTACCTAGATCTTGTTTTTTATACATTGCGTACTTCGATCTACTATATCAAATGTTGACTATTCATCTGAGCTATATCAATGCATCTTGTGTAGTTGAAAGCAACGGATATTTTAAGCATTAGAGTGGAATTAGACCTTAACAAGATACATCTCTCGGCTGTCAGAAAGCTATCTGAGTGACAGTACGTGTAAACTTTCAGCTCGCTATGTCAAGGGTTTGCTTGACATATATTTTTTCTAGTCTCCATCAATCATCGTTTGTGACAAACTATTTTTGCGAACTGATTATTAAGTTTTTCTTACATTAAACTGACGTAAATTGTTGTCCACATAAGTAAAATCATAAAATTTTCCAAATATCTTTTATATCTAACTTGGTTTTTTTAGCATATACATGCTTATTCATGCTACTTTAAACTGGCGACGATCTCTCTTCTTTCGTAGACTATTTATTATTTCTCAAGTGTCGATAGATTTATTAGTCTTATATATGTTTGATTTGTTATGGTTAATACTCGCTACTTCCTTCTTCTTCGACTTCTATTGAGAAGTGATGATATTTACTTTACATGTTAAGTACGAATAAATTCTAATCATTGAAAATATATATTCACTGAACTGAAGTTTATCGTTCACACCTCAACACTTGGACTGTTGTTGTTGTTTTTATCCTCTTATAAAAAAAAAGAAAAGATGAATGAAAAAATGTGCCGATCATGGATAGAAAGATATTGAATATTTATATTTGAATTATAAATTTCAAAACACAGAAAATAAACACTTAAGGAACAAGAAGTAAAACAATTTAATAAAGTTTAGATTAGATGATGAACATATGTACAGTTGAATAAATAAGGCTAATAACATCTTGTCAATCATTGAAGATAGAAGAAATAGAGAAGATGAGTATGTTGCTTCAAACCGTTGGTAATAGTGTATCGTTGATATAAAACTCTTCTTCGATAGAAGTATAATAGATAAATAATATTTCTTCCGTTCACCATGAGAATTATTTATTGCTAATTAGACATAAACGAAAACTTCAGCCTGTTGAATTTAGTGAATTTGTTAAAGGAAAATTGCCTTTAGTTTCATTTACAGAGCATATGAATAGAGACTGACTTCATATCATGACCTGCACTTAACGTTTGCACAGGTACGCTTTCGTGACCGGACGTCACTCGTGTCCTGGACAACAACGTTTTTAATAAGAATTTTGAATTAACTATACCTCCACCGTTTATGTCTGTCTTTGTGCTTACTTCTATATCTTTTCACTAGTATAATCAAAACTATAGAAACTTTAATGAGACTTGGTTTTGTGCATAAACAGTAGAAAATATTCTAAAATCTCCTATTAAATAGGTATGTTCCTGTCTTGAGTACAGAACAATAAGAAAAAACAAGTATGAATGATATTAAACTATTATTTCCTTTAAAACTATTTATAACTCACAGCATAATCTAATTTTTATTCCTACAATACTTTCAAAGACTCAATTTATACTCGATTACTCTATCAACACATATGAATCAAGTATAATAAGGAACAGTATTCAAAATTCTAGATCATTATAGAGATCTTCTCACACTAGTTACGATGCTGAAGTATTTCATAAATTGTGTTATTGTTTTCTCATTCATATATTGGAATTTACTAAATAAACGCTGATAAGTCTTTAAAGAATAAAGATAAGTGAACGTGTTCACATACTCATACACACAACAAGTGTGAGAAGTTCAAATGAACAATATTTAATGAAGATAATCATTCAGTTCAGCTGACAATCTATCATCGTTTGTTCACGTCTGTTTTTAACGCGTCGTGTGTCAGTTATATTGAAGATAACACCTCATAATGAAAAAAATTAAGTTAATAATCATCTATGCCTCAATTGAGAGAGAGAGAGAGAGAAAGAGAGCGGGGGGAAGAAGAACAAATTTGTTGCGTAAATATTAACAAATGAGCGAGAGATAATTCCAACAACAATAATAATAATTCTAATAATACAAAATGTTGTGGACATAAGGAAAGAAAAAGAGAAGAAAAAAAAAATTTAATTTTCATTTGATTGATGATGATGATGATGATTGAAAATTCGTTCATTGGTCGTCATCGTCTTCCATGTTTAGACTAAAACGTTAATAAATGACTTGTTGAATATTGATATGTATTCATTATAAAGTGATTATAATGATGACGACAAATGAGACAAGTTTTTCGATTGCAGCTATTCTTGGTGAAAAACAACAAAAACCGAGGGATAATATAACTGATGCACTGTACAATATACCATATCAAACATCAATTGATTTTGAACATTTAACAAGTAATAACGATAAAAATTTATTTCAAATTTTAAATGAACATCAACCAAAACGTAAACGACATAAACAAAGTAATTCACCATTAATTGCACCTGTGCCAACGCGACCATTAAATGATTCATCTTATTTATCACCTTCATCAACACCATCGTTCAAAGGACACCATCATCATCATCACAATTCAATACTAAATAATGCTATTTATAATGCTGTTGCTACATCAATTTGTCGACCATTATTTAACGTTAATGGTAGCGGTGATAATAATTATCAAAATCATCAATATTTAACCCAAACAGCGGCTTACTATTCATTTAACAAAAATAATTCAAATGGCCATGGTAAGAGTCATTTATGAACTTTATTAAAATCGAATGCCATTTTAAAAACGTAGTTTCTCCCTAATCTGGTCACGCTAAATCTTCTCATCATTTCGATTGAGTTTTCGACGTAAATCACTACGTTAGATTAGTATCTGTTTCTTTTGATGAATCAGGCTTCTATTAACGTATGGAACAGACTCTGAATTATATGAGAATATTTTACAAGTGAGTCTGACGCACTTTTATCGCGGAAAGTATTTATAAGCATTGCATAATTACAAGTTTCAAATCTCTGCATATATTTGTTATAAATTTATGCTTTGCTGTCGCCCTTTGAGATGTAATGCTGAGATTTGTTCAAACTAATGGAAAAGTGTCGCAAATTTAGATCTTTTTTGGCCTTTACTGTAGCAGACTTCTGCTTTTGTTTTTTGACGATATTAGATAGTGAAAATAGACCATGAATATTGTACGGCTGCATCTGGTGAGATCCTACCGTTATAATGTACTGCTAGTAGACCGTTAATCTCCTAAATTTTAACGAAAACCAGCCCCTTCATTCATTCCATTTAAAAGCGTGTGCGCTTATCGGATCTATTTTGAACAGAAAAAAACTGAGCTCATACCTCAATAACTAGCCGGAATTCAGGAGAGATATTTAAAACTGGTAATTAGATGATGCTTATACATACTTTCAGCGGAAAAGGTTCGTCAAACTTGACTGTAAAATATCTTCATGTAATTCGGAATCGATTTCATATGAGTGCGAGTTTTATACTGTTAAGTAATAGATCGTTCTAAAACACAAAAAAAATGAAAAATCGATATTCGAATTGATACAACTATAAAATGAATTAGTTGAAAGAACGATCATTGTGTACTATTATGACAGTGGAAATGAAATAAAACTTGAAATCAAAACTTGACTGATGGGTCTTGTGAAAAAGGATCTTATGAGGAAAAATGCAAGAAACATTATTTGAATATCACGAGACGAGATAAGATGAAACGGCTCACTTTGTCCTAGGCTATGATTTTCTTGTCCTATTCCATTCCATAGGATCTCTGTTGATTATTCACCTATTATCGTCCATGTGTAAAACGAATCAAGTAACACCACAAGTTTTGATCTACCGTACCATCTCCGAATCATGAAATCTACTAGTCGGACCTGAACTCTTCAAGCATTTGTCGAATGTACTAATTTTGAGTACTAATGCTTGAGATATGTTATCCTAACTCTTATTCGATTCAAATCAGTTTGTAACATCCGACAACATCAAAAACTATTAAATGATCACTGCTGTGAATAAAACTTAAGATTTATGTCACTTAAGTCCAGTGTATTAAACTTTTACTCCAACAGACTAATGGACTCAATGAACGAATAGTAAAATAGCGTGGACAAGGATACCGTAATTATGACTTTAGTTCTATAATAAGGAGTAGCATTGATACTGATCATAATTAGTATTTTATTGTTCGATCTAACTTATTAGGCGTTTTTCTTTCTTCAATCTGCCATTTATAATTGAAAATAGTTCGATATTATTTTTTTTATAGTGTAAACTAAACTTGGCATTATTGACAATATTATCTGATTGAAGAATGTTCGAATAATCGTTAAATCTCATCATCAATCTAAAGAGATTTTTCACTTATTGATGATTCCAATAAAAATGTGCAAACATAGAGTTCTAACAAATTCACTTTTGATCATATTAGTCAATAAGACCATCACCATGCCAGACTATTATGATTAAAGTTTGACAAAAGAGGAAGAGATTTTTTTCTTTTTTTCTCTCTAATAGCTGGTGTATGTGTGAACATACAGTGTAATCAACTGAATGCGATCACGAATTAAATGAGTTGTTAATGACATATATGTGAAGATCATTAAAACATGAGAAAATGAAAGAATGTTGTTGTTTGAATTGGCACTATTATGAGAAATATTGATTAGAGTAAACATAATCAATTTGAGAGACTTAAGATGACTTTTCTATAAATTTAGAAGCAGCATAGGATGTTGAGATCATAACAAAGACGACCCCAAATCTGTTTGACTACTGTTGTGTTTAACACTTCATGATCACTAGTTTTTATAAACTTTTAATTTGTTTTTTAGGTCAAAATGTTTCTTATTATGGTAAATCTCGTCGTCCTCGTACTGCATTTACATCTCAACAATTGTTAGAGCTTGAAAAACAATTTCGTGAAAATAAATATTTATCGAAACCGAAACGATTTGAAGTTGCAACATCATTAATGCTTACTGAAACACAGGTATTATTTGTAATAATTTACTTAATTTAATAGCAAGCATACATTCTAACGATTTGTATCATTTCTCTTCTCATAGATAAAAATTTGGTTTCAAAATCGTCGAATGAAATGGAAGAGAAATAAAAAAATACCCGATGATACGTTATATTCGCGAACATCAATAAAACATAGACGACAATCGGATGACGAATCAGTAAAAGATTCACCAGTTACAACGATAAGTACGACAAATGAATATCTTTGACTAGTAAATACCGGTTTACACTTTTTCCTACACTTGTTTTGTAAAAAAATAAAAAATGTCACTGATAACTTGCAATATCTGTAATATAAGACAATTTTCTCTATAGACAATTAGCCATGAGCATGAGTATCTGAGATTAAAAGTTGTAAAACAATCTTACTCACTGTTAAATGAAAGGTTTATTTAAGAGCATTTGAAAAATTGCATTGTGATGTTTGTATAAACAATTCCAGGTAATATGAAAATAGTCACTAATTTAACATGAATAACTCAATTCCCTCTCAGAATAGCTAAAATCATCTTGATCTATTATTTTTTATATGAATAGTGTTCTTAATGCGTTACGCCAAAAAATATATCCAGGATGATGTTCAATATTCAACCAAATTGAAATTCTTCTCATTGCATAATCATCTTTCTATCCACACATACTATTTCAACTTTCAAATGGCTGACTGGCACTTAAATCAATTGTCCTCTAAAGCACGAAAAGACTAATCAATATTCTTCAATAATAAGTGGTTTGCGATTGATCTGATAGAGGAATTATCGAATTTTTTCATTTGTTGAATGCCTTCTATTATTTAATCAACACGATGAATATGAAAAAACACACTTATCATCGTACGTGCGTGTTATAGCGGTCACAGTAGCGTAGTTATAGTCAGTGTTTGGTACCAGTACTACATGATATAAAACTAAGAGTATTTGACAATATGCATTTGATAGTACTACTAAAGGTATCTTAAAGCTCTCAGTCGCCTCCTGAAGGAATTATTTGGAACCTGGTTTTTCTTTGGTCATCATGTTTGAGTTTAAACGTTTTTCAGCTTTTTCGAAATGAATATTCTGGAATTACTATAAACCTTGGAGAAACTCATCAGCTAAATACAGCATTCAAAGTTATATATTTTTCGGATGTCACGATAGTATTCCATAAATAAGGGACTCAGTAATGCAAAATGTTAATACTTTCTCTATTTCTAGGAATGAGAAACATGAGTGAAGTGTGACTCATGTAGTAACTCTTCATATTGAACATGAATCAAAATTCAGTTGACTTCTATCTCTCCAGACAATTTGAATCCTGTGGCTCGTTAGAAAACCACCTGCAGAAAAGGTTTTTGATTAAACACGAACATTGACGACTTTCGTAGTCCTAGATGGTCACTGTTTGGGAAACACGTATCTCTAACAGTTGACATGTAGTTTATGAAAGGAAGCGGCGCCAAGCTGGCTATCAACATAGAGTCCAGTCAGTTCGCTGTTGCGCTTTCTGGCCCGATCGGCTAAGATTACTGGTTTCAGCAAGATGTATTGAACAGGCAATATAGCCCGATCAGGCAAGGAGTATCTTATCCGTTTTGGCAAGATTTCCACACTTTTTGTTTTCAACGGATTAGCGCATTAATCAAAGCTATGCAGACATTCCACGTAATAGAGTTGTAAAAACTGAATCAAATAGAGTTTTCCTTGGATGATACGGTGCGTTCTTGTACAGTCATAAAACTGACCAACTATATGTGTCGCCTGATCGGGCAAACTTGCCCGTTCGATCAATATTTACCGATCAGACAAGGACAAAAGATTGCTTGATCGGGCAAGATACCCTACCCGAACGGGAAATATTGCCAAATCGGGCAAGGTAAATTGCACATAATTGAGCTACGTTTACTATTCGTCTCTGTCATAACAGAAAGAAGGTTGAACATTTAACCTTAATATACGGCCCATGGAGACTTTTTAAGCAACTATCGGGCGATTTAACCCGATATTACTGAAAAAAATTGGCAATATCACGATACTTATGCTATTTATTGCGATAAATTCACTATCGAGATCTATAGATCTACTTCGATATGTCATGCTATACGTTATCAGAATAAGCTTGCTACCTGTTGCAATAAAAATTAGTGTTTCGATATAGCTAGTTAAAATTTTATTACGCTATATCGAGACGGAATTATTGTATAGATAAGGCTTTTACTCATCTAGATAAAAAATTGTTGAAGTAGATCGCGATAAGAGACATAGCTCGCTGTAGCGATGAATCAATGCCTACCACCAGAAAGACCGTGTTTATCGCAATAGAAATCCATACCTTGTTTTTATCCAGGTACGAATGTCTTTCGATATATCTACGCATATTGTTGATCGCGATGACTATGCTGTTTATCACGTGAAGTATACTGTACCCTGATACATCTTCTTAAGTTCTATAGCGCTAATCCAGATGCTTTGATTGTCGAGTTAGTTGCAGCATTTATCAAGATTATATTTATGTCGCATCTGACTAAGATAATATTTTTTATTCCAATGTGTTCCAATAGTCAGTGTAGTCTTACTGCGATAAACACATTGTTCGGATACAGTATGCCACACTGTTACATCAACATATTCTGTTTATCCTGTTAGTGACATTTTTATCTCGATAAAATTTATATATCAGGCTTCATCAAGATAAACTGGATAATGAAAAGAAATAACTGAAGCTGAAAAATCAAAAAAAGGATAAATACTGTCTATCATTAATAAGTTTTGGTTTCTGTTTCGAATTACTGACAACTAAAGTCGCACTGAGCGATGAATCGACGGCATTTTTTTGGGTGATTCTGTGCTTTGGGATAATTTTCTTTTTG